AAATTGAAAATTTTAAAATATATAAAATTCGAATTTGGCCCTAATGACCGGAAGTTAACCTAGAAACGGGCTAATGGCTCATTAGTGAAAGGATTGTGTAAGTTCAGGGATTTTTGTGAAAGGATTTGAAGTTCAGGTACTACTTCGAAATTCCAGCTAAAGTTCAGGTACCATTTGTGAAATTTACCCCCCCAAACTTTCCAGTTAATAATTAGGTATAAGTGTATAACTAACTTCAAACTTCCCACTAAGTGGAATTAAATAATTATTATATTATAAATATGATACATAGACACACTCAACGATTAATTAAATAGTGCAATTAATCAAATACTAATCTCTCCGTCCCAAAAAAATTATGTTTAGTTTTACATGGTCAAAGTTTTTTCTCTTTCTGAAAATAATAGTCATGTCATCTCTTGTTTGTAAGACTTTTGACATAGTTTTTTAAGATGTAAATTTTATATTTAACTTTTATATCAATATTGAAATAAATTGAATAGGAAATAGTTCTAGTCAAGCATCGTAAACCGCAACATCAAGTTCTTTTTGGGACGAGGGAGTATGACTTAATCAACCAGCCTATCAACCACATCGTGGGAAAAATATTGGTAAAAAATGATAAAAGGTGTACCGCTAACTGGGAAATAATTTCAGGATTTGAGTCAACATGCCAATCAGGTTCCAACTGCCTGACAAAGGATATTCGCCCATTCTCAGTGCTACAAAAGAGAACCTGCACAAGCAGTCACGTCATCATCATTACCACCACACCACATTAATCCCAACTATATTGGACTTGGTTGCATGACATCAATACTGTGAACTAATTATCTAAAACTAGTTAACAATATAATGTCATGCAAAAAGCATAGTCGAAATGTTATGTTGCAACCTTCTTAAGAAAGAATATTGAGGTGAGAATCTCAAAATCGTAATCATTAGAAGATTGTGTGGGTAGTGAACCCTAGTTTCCCCACAATAATAAGTTTGAACTTCAGAATGAATGTGAGGAAATGTGTTTGAAACTAGTTCAAATGGTATGATGATGTGGAGAGGTGATTGTTGTAGCCCCACACGATCCAGCAAGCCATCCAGGCATGATTCACAGCAACAGAAACAATTACTAGTGTATACAATTTTTCCAATATATGAGCCACATTACCTTGTCCTTCACCAACCCACCAGATGTAAATACTCCAGCATCTTCTAAAGCCAAGATGACCTTTTTCTGCACATAACAGTGCACCACATAAATATGGAGGAAAGTATTGGTTAAGCATGTCTAATGCACCTTAGCACCATAAACCGTTGATAGTGCTCCACTTCAAAATTATAACCCCCCACCCCTCATACACGCCCTTAGACCATATTATGGTATTCCGTATGATGATATGATGGGGCCAATATTGATATAACATAAGTACTGCAATATGTTTCAGACTGAAATATGCACAAAATAAAGGTATAATATGGAATACATATTTATTTAACACTTCCTCTGTCCCACAAAAAAATAATGATCTCACATTTCCTTTTTTGTCCCAAAAAAGTTCCTTGTTCAGTTGTTCCTTTTGAGGAATGAATTGGGTGGTTCACACAATTTCTCTCCTGTATGAAAAAAACAATCACACACTTTCCCCTTTATTAATAATTGTGCCTAATCATGTGGGACTTAATTTTGGCATGGAGGGAGTATACAATTATTTTGGCGGAGTTAGAACTTTATCTCATTAGCCATTATTCCATTGTAGGAACATTGCATCAAGGACATAACCCCCCCCCCCCCCCCTCCCATTGCTTGCATTTATGATTTTATCTAATTTTAGAAAAAAAATGAGACTATTACATGAATGAGGTTGCATGGATTAAAATTACATAGACCCTCCATTCTTTATTAACTGTCTATTATAATTTTCATGATACATTGAAAAATGATTGAATGTAGACATAAAAGACATCTTACATTCAATCATTTTTCAATAAAATAATGACTGTCTTAATAGACCGTCAATAAAAAATAGAGAGAGTACTAGACTACTAGTAATTAAGATACATTGAGTTTGAGATAAATCCAATGGTATTTAAATTACTTTCACTGAATTTGTAGTTCTTCTTTTTAGGTAAGAGAATGATAAAAATCACTGGGTTCATCTTACCAAATATAAGTATTATAATTCACATTGATTTAGCTTTTATGGTGGTTCTTTACATCATTTGTAAACACCATTGAATGAACTCTATTAATCTCAACAAAGAACACTTTATGATCCATTACAGGTCACAGGTCAGTAAATGACAGTAGCTTAGCCTCTTGGATCAAACACCTTTCTTACTGTTTCTCGTGTGTGTGGGTGTGTGTGGGTGTATGTAAACACTTTATCTAGTTCCTCAACCAATAATTAAAAGTTTTCAGAAAATAGCATCAACAACTATTAAATAATGCATTATGAGATATACAGTAGCACTTACTTCACTCTCATCATCTAGAACTCTTTCCATGAGATAAAGATCACAAAATTTGGTGATTTCAAGCAATACTTCCAGAACAGAGGATCTCACAGTTACTTGTTTCTGTCAGTAAGAAAGGTGTGTTTGTAAGTTACAGAATACATAAGATTGTGAAAATGGTATAGTGCATGATGAAGTCCAAAAACTCCACCTGAGTCGCATCACACCAACATCACTATCTGTCTGGGTGCAATGACTGTCATGTAAGATGCCAGGATGTGGTCAAAAAATGAAAAAATAATACTAACCTGAAGCTCCTCAGGGCTAGTTTCCTTGAGGATCACACCAAGTAACTGACATGTTACCTGTAGAGATATAATTGCAGATGTATCACACAATTGAAGAACCAAAGATAGGACATTGTGATATGGATATGGCTATGGGTCCATTAGACCCAATGGATATGGGGCCAAGCTCTAATACGGAGTATATGGATATGCATATGAGTCTAAACATTGAGATCCAGATCTGTGCCCATATCCATATCCAGACCCACACACATACACTAAAAACAACTTGCATATAAAACTCAAAAACTATGCTTTATTTTAGTTTTCCAGAACATCTTTCCTCATCGTCTCTCACCTCTCTTCTGAACTCATTGTATTTGACATATCCATATCCATATGCCACCGTATCAACATTCAGGCTCCAGCCACAATAAACAAATCAACCTCTACTCTTCATTCATTATCATCTTCAACGAGCATTTTTTTATTCTCCAAACTCGATCTTTATTTTCTTATTTGATTAAAACATGTTAAACTGTTAAAATCTTCTTAGCTCTCTATTAGCTAATTGAAAACTATGTTTAATCTTTAAATTTTAATATGTGTTGATTGTTTAAAATATGCTTCCTCCCAATGTGAATGTTTTGTTACAAATTTGTGTTACGACTTATGCATTGTATTTTCAGTATTTGTTGATTTTAACTGCTAGAAACATTTTGTAATATGTCTTATGACTATACAACAACAAAAACCCATTAAAATCCCATGAAAGTAGGGTCTGGGGGGAGGGTGTGTCTACGCAGACCTTGCCCCTACTCGAAAGTAGAGAGATTTCCGAGAGAACCCCGGATCGAGCAATACAAAAGGCACAAAGCACAAACAAAGAAGCAAGGGCAAACGAAAGGTAAAGTAAAGTGCAAAAAGACAAGAAGCACCCAGCAAAGAAAGCACACAACGACAAGAGCAAAACTATCACCAAGGCCCAAACTATTACCCAACTATCCTAATCCTAGATCTCCAGATGCTCTGATCTACGGTTATATCCTCAGTAAGGGCCAAAAATCTTGAGTCCAGTCTAATCACCCCTTCTAATTCTTCTTAGGTCTATCCCTACCCCCACTCCTACCCACACTCATAAGCCTCCCGCATCTCCGCACCGGGGCATGAGCGCTTTGCTGCTTCACGTGCCCAAACCACCTAAAGACCCACTATATACTCCATATTCGTTTTATAATTAAATGATTTGACCCACTAAAGGCCCATTTACTTGTTGGATCCAGAGGATATATGGGTACAGGTTCAGCCTCTCAAGAACCATTAGATATGGGTAGGTATGGGTCCAAGTAGAAAAAAACAATATGGATCTGGGTTTGGGTGGATTGTGCCCATTGTCATCCCTAAAGCATAGGGTTGTTTTGGTAAACATTTGACAATACAAGGAATTCATTGCCTCTGGGATCTGTCCCGCTACTTTTGTCCTCTTTCCATTTAAGTCAATCCCAAAATTGTCCTATACCATATTGGGTATGATTTATGTGGCTCATATCAATTCATATTTTACCAATTCAATATTAACCACACATTTCTGCTTTTCCAAAATTTCCAATTCACTCCCTCAAATCCTAAATATTGTGGGACGATGGAGTATAATACAAAAGTCTCTTAAGCCTTCCTCGTGGCATCAAAGGTAGCATCTAAGCTTCTAAAATTCCTACATCATGATTCTATAATCCCTACTTTGTTGGTTTATAGAAATGTTCCAAAAAAATAACAACTCATGGCCACCAAAAGTTTTCAAGGCACAAAAGTGAGAGGGATGTTGTATTGATTAATTTGATTTGAAGTGCAAAGTATAAACTTAAGTGTCGAGTAATATGTAGACACATTAAAATGATGTGTAGATGGCTCAGAGCACAGTTTCTATGACAAAATACTTTTAGAATTCAAATAATAAATAAATGAATATTACTAAATATTTTCAATATATTCAATTAACCACTAATCATCAAAACTTGTCATCCTTTTCACATGCTCCCGCTCATAAGTTCAATTTTCCATTTTGATCAAGTCCATTATTGTGAGCATTTGATGTAGTCCATGATTACTCATGATTGTGAGCAATTCAAGTAATCAGCCAAAGCAAACATAATTCTTACTCCAAGAGTGTGGCACTTTTTCAGAGCAAAGCATTTGTCTTTTAGTCATGAATTCATGAATGCCTCGTCAGTTTTCACAAGAGTGTAATCACAAAAACCCAATCCAGTAATCAACCAAGCCAAACATACGCATTATGCCCCCACAGAGTATGGTGTGAGAAGGCTGAGATGTTGCATTACCGTCACACCAACCCCCCAAGGAGTAGAGAGGCAGATTTAAAAAAACATTTCTAGAATACCCCTTACCAAACTGAAACTAAATGGTAATACCCACAACACGAAATAACTGCAATATCTCACCCCAGTTTGCTCGATCCGAATTAGCCACCTAAGCTTGAAGGCATGAAGGTCTCAATCTTTACTAACTTGACAAAGGTACATTGCATTCATCACAAACCAATAACAATTATTTCATAAATCTGTTTTGTTCACTATGCTTTGCTACCATGAATCCATAGATCTGTTTTGAAGAAAATCCGTTTTGTTCATTATTTGTTCACTATGTTAAAAAGATTGTCACGAATCCATGATATCTTCAGTCTTCAACAACACAAAATCTGTGCGGTAAAGTAAACAATAGCAAGTTGACAAACAGTGAAATTGAGATAAAGATATCATGTCCTAGATTTCCTTGAGACCTTTGAAAACAAGAATAATTCAAAAAACATTTGAAAGAGCTCTGCACTATAAGCATTAAGCATGTAACGCCCCAAAACATACCCTAAAATTATTATTGAATTATTATTCAATTAATCAAATTTGTTTTGATTAAAATAAATTATTGTTGGGCTTTGGACCGAAATGAAATGTGTTTTGATAACTAATATCACGATCTGGATAAATCTCATAGAGATGAATCCAATATGTTGACTATTTGTGTAATCTTGATTGGGAACCAGAGTGCAGACCCAAATTAAGACTAAATAAAGAATTTGTTTATGATGTAAACTTTGAAATGATTTATTGAAATAAATCATGAGAGTAAATAATCTGAATTAAATGTGAGAACCTTTTTAAATAAAGGTCAATTAAATCAATTTTGACTTTGTTAAAGTCAAACACCCAAAAATATGTTGTCGGAAAAAGTATTACAAATAAATATAAAAATTATGTCGTTTCATAGAATTTGACTGTCTGATCGCAATAGTGCAAATGGATTTTAATTCGAAGAAAGTTGAACCAAAAAGTATACCCCGATTGGGACCAAAATTGGTCCCAATCAGGGAAGAGTCGTGAGAATTTCCTCAGCATCGCAGACGAGCGCACTAGCCGATCGACCGCATCAGGAACAGAAAACTTCATTGGTTTCTTCCTTCCTTTCTCACTATATAAGGAGAGCTCTTCCTCCCATTTTTTCACCAATCTTTCCAAAGTTAGTATCATTGTGTTCTTTGTTGAGTGGAAAGTTCATTGATGCTGTCAATTTGGTGTGAAGTCGTCGGAAGAAGCCATGGTAGTCGTCGGAAGTTTCGCCGTTCAATCGCCAGAATCATCGTTAAGCTTTGAGTTAAGCCCGTAGATATATCTAGTGACTAGAATGTTTGTATAGATCGTTTCTACGTTCATAAACGGTCGTTTGGTTGAGTTTTGTGTTTGACATGTTTGAAGAACCAAGAATCATAAACCTTGAAATTGTTGTTAAAACTATAAACTAATGATACCAAAATAATCTGTGAATATTGGAAAACATTTCTATATAGTTTAATTGAAGTTTGGTGACAAAAATGGAATTTTCGAAACTTGGCCCGAGGTTGAAGATGACATTGTTCAAAACTTGGAAAGTTCATTGATAAGCATTAATTTAAGAGTTGGTTAGAAGTACCTTAAACTAGAATTAGTTTAAGAGTTGATAAGCATTAAAGAGATTGGCCTTAGACTAAGAATAGTTTTAAGGATATTGTTGATGAATGTTGAATACATAGTTATTAATGGCGAGTGGCGAGGGGCGGGCGAGAGGACCTTTTTTATGGCGAGAGGCGTGGCAAGAGGCGGGCGGTCAAATGGCGAACATGCATGCATGCATACATACATACATATACACACGCACACACACACACATATATGTATGTATGTATAAACACATAATATTGATACTATATATGTATGTATGTATGTATGTGTGTGTGTGTGTGTGTGTGTGTATATATATATACATTATGTAGTAATATATAGCAATAAATATTATGCATTGTATACCCTAAAGCCTTAAGGCAGTGATTGAGGCGAGAAAGGCGAGCTAGGCGAACGCCTGAGGCAGTGATTGAGGCGAGAAAGGCGACCGCCTTAGGCGCGCCTTAGGGATCTCGCCTCGCCTGGCTTCATTGAGGCGCTGAGAGCTCGCCTGGTCGCCTGAGGCGCCATAGGCGCGAGAGGCGAGNAGTAATATATAGCAATAAATATTATGCATTGTATACCCTAAAGCCTTAAGGCAGTGATTGAGGCGAGAAAGGCGAGCTAGGCGAACGCCTGAGGCAGTGATTGAGGCGAGAAAGGCGACCGCCTTAGGCGCGCCTTAGGGATCTCGCCTCGCCTGGCTTCATTGAGGCGCTGAGAGCTCGCCTGGTCGCCTGAGGCGCCATAGGCGCGAGAGGCGAGCGCCTTTAATAACTATGGTTGAATATGAATATGAGTGTTGAATATGAATATGAGTGTTGAATATTGAATGTTGAATATTGATTATTGAATGCCTGAACTGAACATTATGTGCATGATATCAAATGATTTGATTATGAATTGAGATTCAATTTATATGGATGTTCAACACATTAGATATCCTTACTCAGCTTCAACGTTGAGCGTGTAGTATGTTTTATTTGCTACACGCAAGTAAATAGAAAGAATGATGTGACGTGATCTAGGAGGCAGACGGAGGCGAGATTGTCGGGATGGATGTGATGGTTTGAATTAAAGAAAATTAATTATGTTTTATGATTGTAATTTGTTAAACTTCCGCAACATTGAAAACTTCATACTGTTACTATTATGAATATTATTCTTGTGATGAATAAAAGTGTTTGGAAATGTTTTAAACTTTTATGATTACCAAGTTAATACTTTAGTCCGGAAGGGGCTGCAGACCTGGACGGATTAAGGTGTTACAAAGCAAGTTTTCATGAATACACCATTGCACGCACAAAAAAACCACAGTAGGTGTATTCTTGATTCACAACGTTCAATGGTTTGGTTAAATTAATGATTTGCTTCAATTGATTAAAGGCCACTAGATGTTTCTGCTTAAAAAGTGAAACAGAAAGACTCAGAAAACATAATGTAGAAGGATAAATTAGTTACCTTCCTCCCTTCGCTCAACCTCTGCCGAACTATTTGCCCTAGGGTTGGCTGCAATATCAAGGGTAGGAGAGTGAACTTATACACAAAAATATTGCTGGTAAGGAGGGAAAGAAGATGAGAATGCAACTCAGTAACTCACCTTTACAGGCTGAAAGAACTCATCAATAACATTTTGTGCTCTTGAATCATATGATGATGGGTTAGCAACAACAGCAGATATAGTTTCATCTGCATGGCTACTTGCTTCAGAGCTACTTGGCGGCACAGCTTGTCGTTTAGGTCTCCTTCTTTGAGTTCCACCTGGAGATCTCCATAGTCTCCAGGTAAACACTATTGCTAATGCAAGACCTGCCAAAGCCCCAACAGATTTTGAATCCTGTAATTTGACAATTCTACCATTGTTAAGGTTAAATGTGATTAACATTATAAAGCCACAGTACTGGAATCATCACTACTACCTACAAAATGATTTCACGCTCTAGATGCATGTAAAGGTCTGCCAAAATAAGAATACTCGTATAACCAAACTTAAACTCCAAACAAATAACGTGGAAAAATAAAACTGAACCCAAGTATGTGGACTAAATACAAGATTATGATCAAGTTCACAAGCTGATGAAGAGGCTATTGGTAACATAAACTCAATACATATTGGAAATTTAAATAATAAAAAAAGTGAATGAAAAGAAGAAAGATGCATAGAGATGAAACCGTACAGCTATTTAACAACAAAATAAAAGTATAGTAAACACAATCATTTCTCTGTTTTGCTAGAAAAATTGTGCAAGGGAACAAGCAGAAAACAAACTTCATCTTTGAACATGCATTTCAGGTACACTCTTCAGTCTACACATTTCTGAAGACTCAACACTACCAGGGGGGGGGGCTTGTAGAAGTGAAAAAAGAATATACAATTAGTTAATTAAAAAACCACTGCGCATAAGAACCCAAAGAAAACAAAGAAAAATCTATCTGTCAATCAGATAAAGGAGGAACAAAATCAAATCAAGCAGCTGAAATCTATAAATAATGGCAACTAAATTAAGAGGTTTTAATAGCTTCGATTAAAGGGAGAAAGAGAGCAAGGTCAAAACCATGGAACGGAGGATATTGGAAATCTTGACAGTGAGGAAAGCTCCGAATCGCTTGATCAGCTGAACAACATCGACCTTGGAGTGGTCAGCCATGTCAATAGTAATTCAGCCCTTCGCTGTTGGAGACGACAATCGCAAACCCGCTTCTGTAGAGCGTAGATGCTGCCTCGCAAATTAATACTGCCGAGATTTCAGTTCTTCCATTGGATATCGGCGCCCAATGTCACAGATTGTCGGAGGAGAACAGTGCCAGAGATTGAACACCAAGGTCCTGGACGAAGAGAGAGGAACCAGCTAGGGGTGAGTGGGGAAAATCTAAAAAAATCAAACCGAAATCGATTGAATTGTGCCAAAAATAAACTGAATCCAAATAAACCTTAATGTCATAGGATGACCCGGGGCCGCTTCGGTGCCCCGTTCGTAAAATTGACGGTTTCTACCCCCTAACCCCCGGTAAACTCCCACGAAATAATAAAAATAATAATAATAATAATAATTCTTGATGGGATCTGATTTTAATAAGTCCTGATCTGATCTGATTGGATCTGATCTGATCTAATTGGATCTGATCTGACTGATCTGATTGGTTCTGATCTGATCTGATTCGTTCTGATCTGATCAGATCTAATCTGATCTGATTCGTTCTAATCTGATCAGATCTAATCTGATCTGATTCGATCTGATCTGATCTGGTCTGATCTGATCCGATCTGATTTTAATAAGAATAAGAAAAAATAAGAAAATATAAGTTGAACGAACGGGGCCTTAAAAGGTATAAAACTCTAAAATTACTTAATTGTTTTGCATATTTAATTTTGAAAGTGCATAGTAGAAGTTTAGAAGCAATGCTTCGCACTTTAATTACACATTGACTTGACTTCTTGAACTTGTTTTTTATTATAACCAATAATTTTTTTTTTTGAAAACCAAAGATTGCATTAAATTAATGGAACGATGAAATCTGGGGGTAAATGAACCCATTCACCCAAGCTCTGAGAAGAATGAGAAGCTCGCGCCAATACATGTGCTGCCTCATTAGCAGAGCGATATACAAACTGGAAGTAAAAAACTCCCCTACATGAGACAACAAGAGTTTTACAAGCATCAATAATTGAAGAGAAATAAGACCAATCTTGTGATGAATTATTGAGCCCATCTGCAACGTCTTTACAATCTGTCTCAACCTCCATGTGTGTCCATCCTCTCGATTTAATCCAACTAAGAGCTTCTTTTACCGACAATGCCTCTGCTTCCCTTGGACCACAATTACATCTAATGGTCATATTCTTTGCCGCCATGAAGCCTCCAACGTCATTGCGAGCAATAAAGCCCATTCCCACCACTCCATCAACCAAACCCGTGGACGCGTCAACATTGACCTTTATGAAACCTAGCTGTGGTGGCACCCACATGCGTCTTCCACTACTCTGCAGATCCGTCGTTAATTGCGGCTTGGCCATAAGCCACCAATCATCAAAGTTCCTCTTCGCTTTAAGCCATGTACCCACAGGAGTAGGTTGCACTGCCTGCCATACCTTAGCATTACGAGCACCCCAAATCATCCAAAGAATGTGTAGTGCAAGGGCCTGGTCTTGTTGATTAAAAAGATTAAAAAGCTTCTCAAGCCAGGCTATAAAATTAGAGACATTAGGTGTGTACCAGCCAAGATCAGAAGCCATCCACACTTGTTTTGCAAACTGACAGCTTATGAAAAGGTGGAAAACTGTCTCCTCCTCTTCTTGACAAAGTGCACACAGTCTGGACCGGGAGTCCTTTCTTCGCCAGAGACTTGAGCACAGGCAGAATATCATTAGCAGCCCTCCAAATTAGATTTCGGACAGTAGGTAGAGTGCGTACCTGCCATAACTTCCGCCAAACAGATGAAATCACACTGCCCGCTGCTAGATTTTGATCCCATGTAAGCATCCGATATGCGCTCTTTACACTGTAGAGACCTGATTGGTTCCAAGCCCAAATTTGTTTATCCACATGAGAAGTTTCCACGAGTGGAATGGACTGAATAAGCCGGCAGTCCCTAGCCTCGAAAAGTTCATCTATTTTTTGCCAATCCCAAGCACCATCCTTTATGATATCCGAAACCCATTGAATATCCGGTCGTCTTGGGTTCTGAGTCAAAATCCATGGGTGGTTTTTATCTCCAAGCCATGGATCCTCCCAAATGCGAATAGAAGTTCCATTCCCAACCTTCCAACAAATTCCCTTTCGTAGAACTGCCTGGGCTTCCAAGATACTTCGCCAAACATAACTCGGATTGGAACCAATATTTGCATCCAAGAAACTCGATCCTCGAAAGTACTTCGCTTTGAAAACCTTGGATACAAGAAGATCCGGTTGCTGGATAAATTTCCACGCCATCTTTGCCAACATGGCAAGATTGAATTCTCTAACTTTTCGAAAATTAAGGCCCCCCGAATACTTGTGTCGACTTAGTTTGTCCCAACTCATCCAATGGATACTTCTGTTATGTTGAGGGCCCTTACTCCACCAAAACCTAGCCATAAGGCCTTGTAGTTCATCACACATAGTCTTAGGAAGCAAAAACATTGACATGGCATAGGTAGGGATTGCATGGAGAACAGACTTAAGGAGAACTTCTTTCCCTGCTTGTGATAGAAGCTTGTTTTTCCACGAATTAAGGCGTTTCCAAGTTTTGTCTTGGATGTACCTTAGAACCTCTCTTTTATTCCGTCCTATGGCGGCAGGAAGACCAAGATACCGCCCTAAGTTATCTTTCTCCATAATCCCGAGAGTGGCACAAATGATACCTCGTTCCGTGGCGCCTGTATTTGGGCTAAAACAGATTGCAGACTTAGAGAAATTAATAAACTGCCCTGAGGCTGCAGCATAAGTGGACAGAGCTGAGTGAATCTTTTGTGCTTGAGTGTTCAAAGCTCTAAAGAAGAATAAACTATCATCTGCAAAAAATAGGTGGCTGATCTCTGGGGCTTCACGTGCAACTCTGCATCCTGTGATCTCTTTCCCATCCACTGCATGTTGAATTATACGTGATAGACCTTCTGCTCCAATGATAAATAAGTAAGGAGAAATGGGATCCCCTTGTCGAACACCCCTCCCCGGGACAATGGGGCCAATGCATTTATCCCCATGTCGAATTGTGTAAGAGACTGAATTTGCACAACTTAACAAAAGAGTGACCACCCTCGTGTGAAAACCCATAGCTCGTAGCACACCCTCCAAATAAGACCACTCCATTCTATCATATGCCTTACTCATGTCAATCTTCATAGCTGCCCAACCTACTTTTCCCCTCCTCTTATTCCTGATGCAGTGCAGTGTTTCAAAAGCAATGGCACAACAGTCATGTATATCCCTGCCCGCTATAAAGCCACTTTGAGTCGGTGAAATAATCTTTGGCAAAAGAGTTTTCAATCTGGTTGCCACCATTTTACTCATAATTTTGTAGAGGACTCTACAAAGGGCAATTGGTCGAGAGTCACTCATTTCCTCTGGTTGAGATTTCTTAGGAATGAGCACAATCTCCGTGACTCCCAAGGTCTTTGGGATAAGCCCCATATTGAGTTGCGTCACACAGAACTGAGAAACTTCAGGTCCAATAATGTCCCAAAAGCGTTGATAGAAACCGGGATTAAAACCATCCACCCCTGGTGCTTTGTCTGGTGCATAGCAAACACAGCTTTTTTCACTTCCTCAACCGTATAAGGCTGCAGCAAAAAAGCATTATCTTCACAGGAGACAGAAGATGGGATAATCTCAGTTACAGCTTGGTGTGCACCATTTTGAGGTGTGAATAGTTTGACAAAATACTGCACAATGATGTCCTCTAAGCCATTATTCCATCCACGCCAGGTACCACTTTCATCTTTAAGTTTTTCAATATTGTTTTTCCTTTGCATATCTGTTGCTTTTGCATGAAAATATTTAGTGTTCCGATCACCTTGTTTTAACCAAAACACTTTTGCTCTTTGCTTCCAATACTGCTCCTTTTGATATAGTAATTCGAAAAGTCGTCTATGAGCTCTTCTGAAGGTAAGACGGCTTTGGTGGTCCCTACGACCTCTTGCTCTGTTCATGTGAGTTCTCATGAGTTTAATTTCTGCAGCAAAACTATCACGCCATTCATCCCCCCCACGCCTTCAATCTTTCTGAACACAGCCTTAGTTTTTCTTCAAGGTACTGGGACTGAAAGAAATTCCAGCAATCCATCATCAAAGATCGGCAGGCCGGGTCTTTACCCCAGGAGTTCTCATAGCGAAAACGATGAGCTTGATGCTTTGGGATCCATACCTTCAGTTGCACACAGATGGGTAGATGATCTGATGAAGAGAAGTCATATGTGGTAGCTCTTGCCAAAGGGAACTTCTGCCTCCATGAACCCGAAGTTAAGAAACGGTCCAACTTCTCCTCCACACGTGAATTGTCATCCCTTCCATTGTCATAGGTAAATTTGTATCCGGACATGGGAAGTTCAGATAGCCCAGCATCAAAAATGGCACTTTTGAAAGCTTCCATGAGATATTGAGGTTTAGGCAACCCCCCTCTCTTTTCTGATTGATCAAGAATGGCATTAAAGTCTCCTCCACAGATGCAAGGCAGTGTATTAACTTGAGCCAATTCTCGCAAGAGATCCCAAGTGATATTCCTTCTTGCTTGATCTGGATGGCCATAAAAACCTGTGAATCTCCAGCTGCCAAGGGTAGGATCAGTAACAACAACATCAATATGAAAACAGGATGTAGACAATAAGGATACTTGCATAGGCAGTTTGCAAAGAAATGCTAAACCTCTACTATGACCATTTGCATCAACAGAGAAATAACAATCATAACCCAAGATCATTTTTATTTCATCAATCCGCTTGGAATCACATAAGGTTTCAATAAGAAAAATAAAACATGGCTTGATATCCCTTACAATAGTTTGTAGGGTATAAACTGCTCGTGGGTTGCCAAGCCCACGACAGTTCCAACTAATACAACTCATTCCATTAGGCGGACCTGTGACACAGGTCCCGCCTCCATCACGTTTTCATTGATTGATGCTGCCCTGGGTTTTCCCTTTCCTCAATAAGGACCTTCCTCTTTTTTGGATCTGAGATCACCATCGCTGCCATTTGCATAGCACCACCTTCCAAAACAATCTGCCTTTCTTTTGTTTCACATGCTTTAGATGACAGTTGGGTACATGCAGTGAGCTTGCTCTGGTGTATCCCCATGGCTGTACTCCCTGGTTCAGTCTCCTTTTTATGCACAGGAAGCTCATCACGCAGCCATTTGGAGCCAATACTATTTACAGGTTTACGTGATTGAGCACGCAATTCCGGGCCATAGTTGCGAGTAATCTCTTGACCCCAATTCTTTAAGACAGCTGGGCAAAACCTTTCCCCATGGCCAAGACAACCACACACAAAACAAAATGTTGGCAGACGCTCATAGGCAAAGGAAACGTGAAACCATTCTTCCCCTTCTTTCTTCATCTTCGTGCCTTTCCGTAGAGGTTTGCGGACATCCACTTTCACGCGTATTCTTAGATAGGTGGCCCAAGGGTTGGAATAATTCTTTGGATCTGATTCCATGAACTCCCCTATTTCAGCATCCAAACGTTGAGCCACCCGATCAGAGAAAAAGCCCCTTCTTAGCCCGTGCACCTGTACCCATATAAACATATGGTGCAATGGTACATCCCGAGGATCCTTATGACCATCCAGACGATCTAGGATCAAGAGTTGATTGTTAAACGTCCAAGGGCACATATCTAGTACCCGCTTCAGTTCCACCTCCGCACCAAATTGAAATACATATAGCCCATCTCCCATCTCTCTCGCCGTCATTCCTTCTTCTGGACGCCAAAGGGAAGCCATAGTGTTCTTCATGGCAACAAAATTTACAGGCCGTTCTGTCAAAAAACGCCCAACAAGGCAAGAGTCGAACACTACTGTAGGTTCCTTTGCACAATCGTCTATGTCAGTGAAAACTATACCTTCATCACCATCGTCTCCAAGGGAGAGCGAGCCTATGCCAACATGCTCTTGTGCCTCTTCCATGCCTGATCTCGAAGAAAATAAAACCCTAGCCGCAAGACGAACAAACTCTCAAAACAGAGAGACGAACTATGTTTCCAATCCCCTTTTCATTGGCTATTATAACCAATAATGAGTAGTTGCTTTTATACACGTTGAAGACAACAATGTTGTTTTCTTTAAGAATAAATTTCATAATTGGTTCTTTATAATAAGAAGTTTTATTCTATTTAGGCCCCGTTCCGTTCAACTTATTTTTTCTTATTTTTCTTATTCTTATTAAAATCAGATCAGATCAGATCAGATCGAATCAGATCAGATCAGATCAAATCAGATCAGATCCAATCAGATCAGATCCAATCAGATTAGATCAGATCCAATCAGATCAGATCAAATCTTATTAGATCAGATCAAATCCAATCAGATCAGATCAGGATTTATTAAAATAAGATCTCATCAAGAATTATTATTATTATATTATTATTATTATTATTATTAGTATTATTATTATTATTATTACTATTATTATTATTATATTATTATTATTATTATTATTATGATCATCATCATCATCGTCATCATCATCATCATCATCATCATTATTATTGTTCTTAAAAATGAAAAAGAATAAATTTTAGAAATAGGTTAAATAAAAAGCTGAGAAAGTAATCCTTAATTATTAGACATCGGAAAAATTAGTTTTAAAATACACTGACAATGTCAATCTAATTCTACTTTTAAAATATATTTTTATTGCTACTTGTAATTTGAGTTTCTAAACTTTTGATCTTTTATAAGGATGAGATATTTTAATAAAAATACTATCTCTTCTATATATTGATTATCTAAATATAATTACTTTTAAATGTATATCTAAATTAAATATTTATTCTAATGTATATTTCTAATTTTACAAAAAAATTATCATAAAATAAAAAATATTATTACATTATAATATGAATGATTATTCTAATATATGAATTAACTATTTTTATTTTATTAAAAAATAATCATTAAATCAAAAATATTGATTATATTATAATATGAATTATCATTACAATTTTCAAACGTTATTATAAAGTCAAATTAAATTATTGATTTGAAATTTTAAATTAAATCATAATTAATCAGATCAGACCAGATCAGATCAGATCCAATCAGATCAGATCGGATCCAATCAGATCAGATCAGATCCAATCAGATCAGATCAGATCCAATTAGATCAGATCAGATCAGATCCAATCAGATCAGATCAGATCAGACCAGATCAGATCAGAACTTATTAGAATCAGATCATATCAGAAAAAATAAGTTGAACGGAATGGAGCCTTAGTCTTTTTTAATGGTTATCTTTCTACAAATAGTCTTTTTTGATCTTTTGTCATGTTGATATTAATTTGAAGACTAAAAAAGTAATTTCACAATACTCATATATATTTCTTGTCATACATAATTTCAGAATCCGCTCTTGATGTGTCGTTTGTGAAGTCCAATCACTTTTTACTACAACCATAGTCTATAGATGTGATCTTTCGTCAGAATCTTAGTCCTCATTTAGTCATTATTGTTGTGTTGTCCGTCTAAGTGTCTAACGAACATCATAATACATTACTGACATAAGGTTGATATCAAATTACATTCTTAACCCTTAAATAACTCTAACATGACAAAAAGTCAAAAAATGACTACTTGGAGAAAGGTGCCTATAAAAGGACCACAAGAATAACGCTTAACAATAGAGGAATAAGTATAGAAAATATTTTTTATAAAGAACTAATTATGAAATTTACTTTTTCTTTATTGTGAGAAAGTGTGCAAATCTGCACTCTATTTAGTTTTGCAAATTTGGCCTCCACCTCCAATTTTTTGTAGATATTTTCAAGTTTGGGGTATACACTTAATTGCACTATTGCAAAATTTTAGTGTGATAAGTGTGATATACTCCATCCGTCTCAGAGTATTTGTCCACTTTCATTTTTACACATCATCTAATGCACTTCTTTAATTCATTTTATCTTGTAATTTGTATATTAAAAAATTATAGAAATTATATATTAATAATCTATATGTTAAGACAAATCAAACAAGATCACACATGACTATATTTAAGCTTACACATTGAGAGAATTTGATGAGTCAAATGGCTTAGATGAACAGTTCCAAAAGTCAAAAGTAGACAAAAACTGAGGGACGGAGGGAGTACTTTTAAACAATGTATCATTCTTAAAAAATGAATAACCGAAACAAATCGCGGATTGCATCGCAAAAAAGCGAACCAAAAAATCGATTGTTCACTTCTTCTGTTTTAAAAGCAAAACCGAAATTGAACGCCAAATTACCAAACCGAAAAAATCTTAACCAACCCCTAAATTCCGCCGTGGACGTTTTAGGTAAGGGTCTGTTCCTTAACTTATTTTCATTTAATTATTTTTATTAAAATCAAATTAGACTATATCACATCTAATCAAATCAAATCTAATCAAACTAGATCAAATGCATCCAAATCAGATTAGATGGGAATCAATCATATAAGATCTTTTTAAATTAAAATAGGTAAATACAAAAAATATTTAAAAGATTTGCAATTCTTTCATCTATTATTACGTACTGGAGTGTTACATTATATATTTTACGATTAGTTTATGTTACATTATTTAATATTGCATATTATTTACTATATTTGTTATCCCATAAAACTTTTCAAAGTTAAAAAATTACACGCCTTTAAAATGTATAATTTTGGTATTATTTCCCAATTGGAAATGATAATTACATTCTTTTTTGCTATTGGCTAATTTTATTCTTAATTTATAATGTGGTAGGATATGATACGCATGATAAATGATAAGTAATTACAAAAATTTTACATTTTTAAGGCGTGCCATTTTTCAACTTCGAAAAGTGTCATGTGACACGGGAAGTAATATTTACTATAGAGTATTATAGTGTTATATACATTTAAATAATAATAATAATGTTACATATGTCTAAATAATACTTATTATTATTATAGTAAACATAATATTTCATCTCTTATTAAATTATTGTCTACTTTCTAAAAACAGGGAAATTGAATACATTTTAAAATAATTTTATTTATAAAAAAATAGTCCCTCTGTGATCTTTTATGATTGGTGGTGTGTGAGTTGGTGGTCTCTTAAAAATAATCTTTCTGCTTTCAAGTAGAGGCAAGGTCTACGAACACATACCCTCTCAGACCATATTATTGTGACATATGCGTACACATATCCTCCCTTGCAAAGTATAATGTTCATCACCAACTCTCAATCGTGTATCACTGCACCCGTAAACATGTCCAAATGACCAAGTCGAGCTTTCAAATAGAGAAATCAAAAGCATCCTTGGGAAGGTTGTTAATCCTTCAAAAAAGGATTGGGATGACAAGTTTGACGATTCATAAGGGAGAAGTACCGACATAGCACTAATATATGTTAAAACTACCCAATATAGCACTGCTGTGGGATATTGGAACTCGTGTGGATGCAATTCCAAATTTGTCTTTGCATTCCACACTGCCAAAAAATATGTTTAGTTTGGTATACACTTCCAGAACATAGGCATAACACACTGTCGTCATACCTAATATAACATGTAATTATACTGCCAAAGCATGATCATTTTACACTACCAAAAAAATATGTTTAAGTTGGTATACAGTTCTAGAACATGAGCATAACACAATGCCGCGCCACAATGTATAGTTAAGTATTGTAACCCATATATAACACACTGCCCAAAACATGAACATAACAACTACGAGAAAGTGTAGGCATAACATGATCATTCCATACTGCGAGAATGTGTGTGTGCGCGCGTATCACACCTTATTTAGGCTTATGTCATTATTTTTTTCTTTCTTCGTCGTCGAGATATTTGCCGTAGAACTGCTACGACCGTCAAGACAGCCACAAATCCCTTTGACGGAGACATAACATAAGAGGCAATACAAGAGGGAAGCTCCAAGGTGAATAAGCGATGCCCATTCTCCCCAGCCTTGGGTAACCCTTTCGCTGGAAAAGAAGGACGAACATTTGGTATGATCCTTTTCCTTAAAGATAGAATAGTTGTATTGTGCTCCACTCCAAAGCAGGCGTACTCCTGCGTACGTGAGAAACCTGATTCCATCATGCATGCACGCACATACGCACGGATTAACATATAAGAGAGAGCGAAGAAGAAGTCTTACAGTATTAATTATGATCAACAAAAAGGTTAAACTCCCTACCTCTCCTAGGTCCTACACCCTCACCCCTCTTTGGGAATATATATATATATATATACACACACACACACACACACACTCCCCCGTCCCTAAATAAACTTCCGTTTTTGACTTTTTGAGAATTTAAGGAAGGGATATTTTGGTGTTGACTTTCCAAAAATACCCTTGATGTGATGTGTAAAAGTAATTGTTGGAATATTGGAATAATAATATTGCTCCTTGAATTGTGGAGTACACGATAGAGTATATATAGGAGAGACTCCTAACACAACTAGGAATAGAGAATGGAAACTAACTAAAATACAACTTCTACCATAACTAGGAATACTTAATATTATTGTCTAACATTCCCCCTCAAGCTGAACTCTGGCTAAAGCAAGAGGAAGCTTGGACACTAGCCGGAAACTGGAAATTTTGAGAAGAGAGAAGTCTGACGTGTGCCGGTGGCTGCTGACGTCGTTGGAGAAGAGAGAAGTCTGACGTGCACTGGTAGCTGCAGACATCGTTGAAGAAGAGAGAAATTGACGTGCGCTTGTAGTTGCTAACGTCGAAGAAGAAGAGAGAAGGTTGATGTGCGCTTGTAGCTGCTAACGTCGAAGAAGAATAGAGAAGGCTACTTGAAGTGCCTGTTTGACTGAAGATCTTTGACATTCTATGTCTTTTTCTTGGATCCGGGCAATGCCCTATTTCCTCCTTGAAGGGGTGAGTTGTAGATGTCTTCTTTCCTCTTTCACTACTTCCCCTCTTGGCTTTGCTTTTTGTGCTGATTTACTTTGAATTTTTGTTGGTTGAACAGAAGAGAAAAAGAAGGGAGATTGATGATTAGAATGAGTGATTTGAGAGAGAAAAAAGTGGGTTAAGAATTGTGATGGAAAAAGAA